CATACACACCCTCAAATGTTTTTTAGGAAAGGTACCTCAATTCTATTTGACTATATTTCTTTTGGCTGCTTTTTTAGAAATTTGAGGGGTGAGATTGAACTCTTTACATCTTTAGAGTGCTAGCTGAGGAAAGCCGTTGATCATTTGATTTACGTATATCACACATTTTTTTTGTATTTACAGTTCCAATTCCTATACTTGTTGTTATGTTGGCCAACTTATATGTTTTTTAGGTGTCCTTGTCTAATTTTACTACAATGATTCCAAGTATTCTTTATTTTCCAATTCTTCATCTTAAAATTTAGAACTAATAATCGATGTTGAGTACTTAAATTCTCACGTAGAGTGACCTTATAATCATTACATTCTCGACGATCTCTTCTCCTCGTAAGAAAATAATAAATTCTTGTTTTATTAGATCAATTCTTATAAGTAATAAAATGCCTATCTCTTTAATTTAATAAAGTATTAGCAATATAAAATCATACGCTAAATCAAAATCTATTATGGCTCTAACTTCTTCATTAATCACTCCAAAACCGTAGCTACCTTTGAAAACTTCATGGCTTAGGAGTACATTGAAGCTAACTTTTGACTCACTGGATGGCTTTCTTTCTGTCACTAATGTGTGTCTGGCTGTGTGTCTAAAGCTGGGTGGTGTGTTGAACAGCAAAAACGGCATCCTTAAATCCTTCAGGTTCTTAAGTCCTGCAGATTCTTAATTACCATTTGCCATCCGTTTTGCTTTGAGTGGACCGGGAAGATTGGATTTTTAAGTCTTTAGGCCGCCTAAAGTGGGCCTTGTGAGCTTTGTGGTAACAGGATTTGATCTGCATCATGCCAAACAGCCAAAATGACAACTTCAAATAACATAGAATGTTAAATCTAGTTTCTTCACTCCATTTCACCTTAAATCTCGTGGATTTCAGTTGAGTCCACAATTTACATGTGCTGTTATTCTTTAAACGTTCATGTTGCAGCGACTGATGCTATTTTTTATTGAGGGTGTCTTGTATCTTTTGGAATGAGGACCTAGTGGAGAAAGATGAGCGCTCTGAATTTTAATATTGTTAAATTTGTATGGTTGACATATCACTTGATGGGGCTTAAAATTTAAATGCACTTTGAGTTTGAAAACTTCTGGAATCTCATTAAGGAAGGCTCGTTGTTTCTTAAAAAGCATTCTCCATCCTTTCATGATTAATTTAAAGTTAAGTCTCTCTCTCTCTCTCTTTCTCTCTATTTTTCTAATTGGACGATAAAAATGAAATGCATTCTTCTGTGCTTGTAATTGTGCTAAGCTATTTTCCTGTGATGGGGCCAGAACAGCTTGGACATCCGATGCATGTGGGAAACCACTGCATCGTCATGTTAACAGTGAAGTACAGATCAACGGATCTGCTTTGATGATGGAACAGTGAAGAATTTGTGCTCTCTAACTCATCATTTTGCCTTTTTTTTTTCTCAAACATTTCTTCCATACATAAGAATTGTGTGTTATGTAAATGCCCCAATATTTTACATAGGCCAGAACCTTCTTCAGCTTGGTTAGGAATCAGTTTTCTTGGGGATCCTGCTTTAATGAGTGCGCTCCAAATACTAGAGGATGTTTTCCCTTATTTATACCTTTCCATATTAATGTTTGTAAATGCCCCAATATAGTTTCTTCTTTTTTCCCTTAATCTATCTTTGATTGATCTGTATGCTAATGCTGCAAGGTAATTGAGACCGAATCTCTGATAATATCTATAAATTTTTCTTCTATTGTTTCGCTCTTTAAATAATAGTCTTTAGTAATCAGAGCCACAATGCTGTTGACTGTAATTTTCATCTCCTGTTTAAAAATTTTCTGCTTTGAGATTGAATGTTTTGTACTGTGCTAGAATATGCGAGTGGGGAAAAGGTTGTTGGCTGGCTGACTTCATAAAATTATATATATATTTATATATATATACTGATGATATATAACTGATGCGTCAATTTTATCTTCGGTCATGAATCTTTAGGCATGGTGAGAAAAAAAACATTCTATATTCAAATTTGAGATAATCTGAGCTCTGATTTCAGAAATTTAACATCTCGACAAGATGAATTGAAAATGGTGAAATTGATGCAAATTGAATTTAATAAAAGCTAGATCAAGCATTTGAAACGCAATTGGAAACTTCTGAATATTGTTTTTAAAGATGTGTCTGTCTCGATCTCTCTGAGTGTGTCAGTCAACCATAATGATTAAATTCAACATGTAATCTGATCTTGTCACTTTTAAGGGTGCTTCTGGGATCTCCATTTTTTTCATGCAATGGCGGTGGTGGAGGTAGGGCTGTCAAAACAGCTCGTTGTTCGCGAACAACTCGTGTTCGGCTCGTTTGTTAAGTTAACGAGCCGAACAGAAACAACACGAACAATCTTTGTTCGTTCGTGTTCGGCTCGTTTTGGCTCGAAATACTACTAATCAATTATATATATTTATATATATATAAATATAAAGTAGTATTTTCACAAAAATTATTTGACTACAAGGCTACAAAAATTTATGATCAATTAAAAGTATTAATTAAGAAAATAGAATAAAAATTATTAAATTAGATTTAAATGATGTTTTAAATCTTGTCTCAATCCTTAACATCTTATGATTATGTGATTAGGGTTGTCAAAATGACTCTTTGTTCGTGAACGGCTCGTGTTCTCTGAACACATTTTCTGTGCTCGAAATATAAACGAACCGAACACGAGCTGAGCATGGGCTCGCTCGTGTTTGGCTCATTTACAGCCTTAGGTGGAGTTACCTTCGTAAGTTATCTGACCTTGAAGCTTACTCTTCGCCCACTCTCTGGCTCTCTATTTTACTAGAATGCTTGTGGAGGTACCTTGGCAACTGTCGTTGATCTAAACCCCATTTTATGTCTTTCTTGTTTCTAATACTGTATGATAATGCATATCACAGTAGTAATCTTTCTTGGTTCCCTTTTTTTCCTTGCTTAGAATGATCTGTATTCTAATGCCGTATGATAATGAAGATACAATTGTGATGATCAGTATTAATAAATCTGTGATCCTTCATTCTTGAAAAAACCTCATTAGTTTATGGATTTGTTAAATATGTTGAGCAATTTTTATGGTAAATGCTTTTCCATGATGTTTTGATTGATACTCCTTCTTTTATCCCCTACTCTTTGGAAAGCTTTTTTTCTAATCCAATAGAAGAAGTTAGATTTAAGTTCTTGGTTGGAGCGGAGCCGAAGGAGGAGAAAGAGGGGAGTTTTTGTAGGTCCTTGTATGGTGCTATCTCGTTGCTGCTTTCCAGCTAGCTCTAATATTAACTGTATTGCTTTCCCACCAGTCTCCTAAAATTTGCCTTTTACATTTATATTAAGGTGGTATATATATATACGAAAAAATTGAAGATTATGTGTTAGATATATAAATACACAAGAATGGAGTGCTATGTATGTAAATCTTCCTCTCTCTTTCTATATGCATCCCTCCATACATACATATACATATATACATGCATGGATGAGTGGCAGCAGGTGAGAGGGGAAAACGGCAGAAATTTGACAGTAGGAAGGTTGGGGCTGTGGCTGGGAAGAAGGGAGGAAGGAAGGTATGAGGAGGGTTTGGAAGCTGCAATAGACAGCAGAACTGCTGTCTTTGGGCTAACTGCAGCCAGTATGGCGACGTCAACAGGGAGAGGGAGGTTGCGGATACAGCCTTAGAAGGAAAAACAGCCACTTACTGCAAGCTGGACAGAAATAAAAAATTAGAAAAGCAAAAATTGAATCCTGGGGCAGCAACACATGTAAAAATAGAAGATGGATAGGCGGGAAACGAAAACAGGTTTGGATTGGGGTGTGGGGTTGGGTGGGGTGGGGGCTGGGGTAGAGTTGTGGGAGCTGTAAATAATTTCTGCCCAATGAAAACTGGGGGGCGTGCTGCCCCAAGCCCCACGTCAACACACACACACACGTAGGAACAAACATACATACATACATATAGCTTCCTGTATATGCCAAAAGATCAATGAGACCTGAATCGATGCTATATTTAAATGAGTAACACCTCATCCTCCAAAGAAAATTTATTTATTTTATGGGTCAGTTTAGAGTGACACCTCGCCTTTTAAATAAAATTCATTCGATTAACAAATCTATTTGTGGCTGTTTTCTCATTTCTGTTGGTTGTAATTTTTTTTCTGATCATGTGATATGTGGAAGGCCATACAGGAAGCTTCAGGGATCAATTCTGAATTCCTAAAGCAATGGTCATAGTGCTGCTTGAATGATATATGACCGCGGGTAACTGCTTCATATATGTGTCATTAGTAGAGAAGTCTTGTATGCATCTGCATTTTGATGGAACTAAGGTTAATCCGAGTCTCCAATCTCCCATTTTATTTAGGCTTTTCTTCATACTTAGGTTGGTAGATATGTAAATGCTTCAGAATTTTGTAATATAAATGTAAATTCTTTTCATTATATTGTGTGGGTGGCTATATTTCTATATTAATTTAAAATATTTATTCAAGTATTAATCAGCAGAATTCATTTGACATATAAAATGTAGCTAATAGTTTAATTTAATTTAATCATTCCTTATTATTTTACTTTGGCGAACTGTTGTCCTGGCTCCCACTATCTCTGCAGAGAGGATTAAAATCCACTGCGAATTCTGTGTGGTGTGAACTCCTAATCCTGTGCATAAATAAAGTTCTGTGAGATAAAAACTTTAACTGATTAGCTTAATTAGGAGGCGTGTGGAGAGTGGCAACCTTATTGGCCGATGATTACTAGGTAGTTAACCGTTACCCACTCACTGGCTTTCTTTCTCCAACGGGCATTGAACATGAGTTCCATTTCATAATGCGATCTTGGCCCATTTTAGGAATGGTTCAGATGGGGCTTCTGTGATGTTCATAATGCTGATAAGCTATTTAATTGCGATGATGTTAAAAGAGCATGAATGGCCTGTGCTTATACCGGAAATCACTGTTTTTGCAGGTTAACGCTGAATTGCAGATCCGCGGATCTGCTTTGATGTGGAATGGTGATGAATCTGAGCCCTCAAACTCCCGCTTTCCTTTGTAACCTTTTCTCTTAAGAGGTTTTTCATTGTTATGCAAGTAATTCTGCATTCTACGGGGCTGTTTGGTAGCAAGAATTCAGCAGGATTTAACTTAAATCCTGAAAACAGAAAAAATGACATTTTTAAATTCTACACGTTCTTAAATTCCCTTTTTCTTTTGCTGTCTTAAATCCTGGATTTAGTTAATCCAGTTGGAAGACAAACTTTTGGGATTTGAAGAAGCTATGGTTTCTAGGAGGAACGGAGTGGAAGGAGGAGAAAGATGGGAATTTTGGGATTTGCTCTAATTGTGACTCTTATCACTATGGTTTGGTCACAAAGGAAATGATTTTGGGCAAGACTGGGATAGCGGAGAGGGATGTTGGCGAGGATTTTGGAAAGGAGAGGGGGAGAGGAAGATAAATAAGGAACTTACCAAATATATCTCGCCTAAATTAGGAAAGAAAATAATTCTGAATACAAAAAAAGAAAAAAAATAAAATTGGAAGGGAAAAAGCTCAATCAAATATTTCCTAAAACATCCTAAACAAATATTCCAAGATTTGGAGGCCCACATGAGACAGGTGAATATGAAAACTAAATCTTCTCAGATTTTCACAACATGCATGCTACTTAATTTTATTTGTATTTACATTCCTAACACCTAAATTTTATTATTCAGGTTAGCCTGAAAGGTTACGATGGTTTAAATTTTCCAATTTTGGCTTTTTTTGTGGCATATGAAATCGAAATTCTCTCTCTCTCTCTCTCTCTCTCTCTCTATATTTATATACTATGTATAGGCCCAAACTCAGATGGTATGTATTAGTACTTCAGAGGTGCTTTACACCATAAGAAAAAAAAGAGTTTGTAGGTTCTTCAAGGCAGCTTTTTCAATGGCTTTCTAGAAAGTCACCATAATTCCGTTTTACTGAAATTTTTTTGCTGCCTTTTAACCACTTTCCGTGGTAAGATTGAACTGTTTACAGAATTTTGAAAGTGTTAGCCGGAAAATGCTGCTATTTTACATACCAATCTGTTCCCATATATGTACATATCTAACACCTAAACTTTGCTTATAATATTTATGCGACCCAAATCTTCACATTATTAGAACACTGAAAGTTAATCATGTTGGTCGATGGAGTTAAATAGAACTTTGAAATATCTATCTGAAAACTTGAACATGTGAAATGTACATTTAAATTAATACAACACAATTCCTATTTATTTACATATTTAACACTGAATTTGAATTTTTTACATTTGTTATGAAGTTGGTGGAACAATAAAGCCAAGAGATGTGTGGTTTATATCTAAATAACCCAATATTTCAGTGATATTGGTTTGAACCATGTTCAAACTTGGATTCAAATCAGTTTCAGAAAGCTCAAACTTCAATAGCGAGTCATCTAATGCTAGAGGTTATCCCTTATTACTCACAATTTCGTCTGGGATTAAGGTTTCTATAAATGAACATATCTTAGGGATTTTTGGCTCATTATATATATAGTGAGGCATATGATGTTAAATTTCCTTGTGCTTTTTTAATTAGATAAAATTTGTGAATTTTACATATATATATATATACCACACAATTCTTATGGGTTTACATCTCTAACACTTGTGTCCTATATTTTAATGGAAATGGTGTATTTCAAGTTTTAAAAATGAAAGTTTATGGTGCTTCATAAATCTTGGTTTTTTGTCATGCTGTGGCAATGGATTATCTTGGATGGCCCATCTTCTGCAGGTAATCGCTGTGTACATGTCATTATTAGAGAGGATGTGGATGTATTTGTTTTTTTTTAAACTGTCAAAGTTTTGAAAAAAATAGGCTGAATACTGAATAGGCCCAATTGCTTTTTCCCTTTGCTTTCATTCTATTAAATAATAATCTTAAAATTTATTTTAGGTACAAACTAAGTGCATAATCTATTTTAGGTAACTTAATAATACATGTTCCTAATCTAAATAATCAACTAAAAGGGAAATAAATCAGAATAAAGATATTGGAAATAAGGAAGTACATAATTATAGAAAATTCCTAATTTAGCTACTTGACTTCCGTCATTCCTGATTAATCTCTCTCCTCAAATTGATGTCGACTGATCATGAAGTATCAATTTGCCAACAAAAAGCTGATAAAATTATCGGCACCAAAAATCCACAAGCTGCCGAAACTAAGAGTGCCTAAGTCTGAGATTGCCTTAGCCTCAGAATGACGAAGCTTGAGAGTGCCGAAGCGTAAGAGTGCCGAAACTTGAGTGTCGAAGTCTGAAAGTACCAAAGACTGAGAGTGTCGAAGCCTCAGAGTGCCGAAGTCTGAGATCTATAGTTTGTCGAAGCCGAAGCCGAAATGGACGAAGCGAAGCTTAAGAAGCTCTCGAAGATGTAAAAAAAACAACAATGCCTAATGAAGAAGATCCAAATGGGACGAGTCATAATACAAACATAACCATCCTTTTTAACCCAAGAATCCTTGTATTCCACAATGAATGGATTTTGCACTTCACAATAAGTTCCATCTCTTGGCGAGTAGACCTGCGACATCTATTTGTCTGTCGAGAAAATTTGATCTTCTTGAAGACATACTTCTTCTTTTTCACCTTGTTCTTCACGAGAAGAGTAGAGCCACATGGCCCTTTGCCAATATTCCCCAAAACCTCATACTCTATGTTACCACCAACATTTAGCTTTTCCTATTTTAAATTTTATGAAGCTCCTCTGATCAAAAGAAAAGTGCATTCGAAGAGAACGAGCGGGGGATTGGAGGGATGGAAGATTTAGAGGAAGCACCAATAGTCGAGCAATCCAAATAGGGCGAAAACAAGGAGGCGGGATGTGAGTTGAGGGAGAGAGCAAGTATGGCGTTGATTAGAGTGAAATAGTTACGGAAGTAGGATAAGTTTTTTCCGGAGACGAGAAGTGGCGTCAGAAAGAGATTCTGGTCGAGAAAAGGCGGAGCGAACGAGAAGTTCAGACCAAGGACGACAGTTAGAGAGAGATCAGTGGATAGATTCTTGGAGGCGGCAGAGGAAGAGTTGAAAGGCAGGCGTAGTGGTCGGCGCTAATGACGGAGATGAGATGGATCGAGAAGATGTGATGGAGATGACAACAGTTGTCTGGGAGTTGGGGCAAGCAGTTGAAGACGAAGTTCAAACGAAGAGGCCAGAGAAGGAACCAATCGAACAAATCGAGCGTTAGTTGAACAAATCGAGCGGTAGTCGAGCGGCAGACGAACAACAATCGAACAGATCGAGCGGTTGGGCACAGAGGATGCTGTTAGGGCATACAATGGTTTAGGCATACAAGATGAGCTCTTGTAGGCGAAACAAACTACTCCAAAGATTCATATCCTAAATATTTGACTTGGTTCAGATGCCATGTCAAAGTTTTGAGAAAAATAGGCTGAATACTGAATAGGATCAATTGCCTTTTCCCTTTGCTTTCATTCCATTAAATAATAATCTTACAATCTCTTTTAGGTACAAAATAAAGCGCATCATCTATTTTAGGTAACTTAATAATACATGTTCCTAATCTAAATATTCAGCTAAAAGGAAAATAAATCAAAATTAAGATACTGAAAATAAGGAAGCTTTTAATTATAAAAACTCCTAATTTAGCTGCCTGATTTCCGTCCTTGATGTGTTTGTTTTTTTTTAAACTTGGCTGGTCTGAGCCTACAACTCCCATTTCCTTCAGACTTTTCTATATCTTCAAGCAACCTACTTGGGCCTTGATGTGTCATCAACAGATTTTTATCATCAGGCATGAGTCTTGATTTTTTTTGAATAAGAAACATTCCGATTGGTTCCTTAATGTGGATAGATTTTTTCCTTCTATTAGATGTTATAATCTTTCTCGGTACCCTTTATTTTCCATGATTTGAATGATATGTTTTGAAATGCTACTTGGCAATGGAGATATGACTGATGATCTGTGTTAATCATCAGTGACACTACACTCTTCAATGAAAAATCATAAGTTTATGGGTTTCTGGCAGTTTTTTCAATGGCTTTCCCCACTTTTTTGGGAGGGTTTTCACTGGGGGGTGGTTCTACTTGAATTTATTTTTGTTTAGGGTGATGCTGATGAAATCCATCTTGGTAGATGATCTTTTGCCCCCATTCATGTTGTGTAGGAGCTTTGACGGCCCATGTACGTGCAGGTAATCTTTGCATTCCTTGCATCAGTGGTGGAGAATGATTGGTGCTTCTGCGTGCAGATTGAACACAATGCCAATCTTCAAAGAAAACTGTGATTTAAATGATGCTATGGGGTCTAATTCTCCTTGTCATCAACCACAGTTCTTTTGTATTTAGGTGATTAATGCTTTTGTTTTCTTTGTTCTCTCTCTCTCTCTCTAGTTTTCTCTGATTTGGCAGTAATCCAACATTGAAGGTGATAATGCTTTTTTTCCCAAGGGATAGTAAAATTGGTTATTTGGGCGCTCCATAAATTTTAAATTTAGTTGTGCTGGAATTTGAAGTGTGGATTAAATGGTATTGTTGAAGCCTAGCCTGTCTTTTGGCATACACACCCCGAGAGTTAGAGCTGAGAGGAGAAGAGAGAGAGAGAAATCTATGTATAACATCTTAACCTATGTTGAATTACTTTCTTCATAATTTTAATGGGGCCAAAAAATTAACCTGGGCATCACTTTTGCATCCCCTTTCTCATAAATGGGTCCAAAAAATTAAATTGAATTGAGTACATATGATTTATTTGGTTTGGTGAATTAAATGCTTGTTTGCTTTTTTAATTTTGAATTAAAGGTTATTTGAATTTCTGCTTTTGAATTGATCATAGAACAAAGCTTTGCCTAAAATTAACAACCGCACGCCGCTTTCTTCTTTGCGTCGGGGTGAAATAGTTGGTGAATGCGATTGCACCGCCACCTTTTTGTTCGATTGCTTTGGCCTAAAGTTCAAGGTTTTATCAAAAGAGTAACATTGTTTTATTGTTTTTTAAAACCTAGACACTGGAAATTTCTTTAATGTAGCAGCAATGTTGGTAGTCGTGATTGAGTGTTGTTTTTTTGTTTTACCATTACTCATTAATCATCTAATAGTCATGGAAACGGATTGTGTGTAAATTGCATGGGAATGAACTTATTATTCTTTTCTTTCCTAAATTTCTGTTGATAGGTCTCATGAATGATATTTTGTGTTTTTGTTAAGGTAATTGTCAACCTCATTTCCTTTTATAATCACGGGAAGCTAATGCAAAACAGCCTGTAAAAAATTCATCTCCTTTTATAGTCATGGAAAGCTAATGGAAAAGTATATAGTTAATTTTTAATTAAAATTATTTTCGAGCAATTTTTACAGTATGTGTTTTTATTTAAGAAAATTTATGAAGGTGAAACGTTAAATGCAATTGAGATGCATAACCAGATTTGAGAAATGAGTCGTGCTTTAGTTGTGTGGTCGAAAGATTTTTTTTTTATCTTTCGAGGA